AAACAAATAGTTACCCAAACCAACTACACTTGACGTCGCTGTAGTCTCTTGATTTCTGCTGTGATGACAGGGGCCCAGATGGGAGATATGTCCTTCGTTTTGTGTGCACGTAACAGCACGACATTGCAATGTATGAGGCTGGCGGACCACGTGACCCTTAATTTCAACAATACAATGTCTACGGCTGCAGTCTTCTTGGACATCGAAAAAGCCTTTGATACCACGTGGCACTCAGGCTTGCTGTTTAAATTATCAAAATTGGAATTCCCCAACTCTTTGACCAAGCTTATTGGGTCCTTTCTATCTAAACGTAAATTCAGGGTCTCTGTTGAAGGCGAAATGTCAACGCCAAGGGAAATGCAAGCAGGGGTGCCACAAGGTTCTGTCCTTTCCCCCACTCTTTTCAACATGTATATTAATGATGCCCCCCAAACTCATGGTATTCATTTGGCCCTCTATGCGGACGACACCTGTCTATATGCGACAGATCGCAAAGAAGGTTTTATTGTTAAAAAACTCCAGCGCGGTCTCAGCTCAATGGAGACCTGGTGTGAGCGCTGGAATATAAAAATTAATGAAGATAAGACTCGGGGGGTCTGCTTCTCTCGTGGTCGTCGACCGCCTGAATCTTGTCTTACTCTAAATGGAAGAAATATTCCATTTGTAAATAGTGCAAAATATCTAGGTGTAATCTTCGATAAGAGAGTGACATGGAGATTACACATAGAAATGATCGAAGCCGAGGCCTTCAGAAGATTCATTAGAGTATATTCCTTTTTCAAAAGTGAGCGATTGAGCGCTAACATTAAATTGACCTTCCATAAAGCTCTTATTAGATCTGTAATGACCTGTAATGCTAGTCCCGCCTGGGACCCATCTAATAAAATTGCAGCGCCTGCAAAACAAGGTCCTCCGCACTATTGGCAATTTTCCGAGGCGCACACCGGTCCGCGATTTGCACATGGCATTCGAAATCCCGTACGTATATGATTTTCTAACAGAATTATGCAGGCAACAAGCAGAAGTCATACAAAATCTTGTGAATGAGAATGTTCGCAACATCGGAAAAGGCGAAGCCCGACACAGAAAGTATAAGATGCTGAAACTTGGTGGCGGTCAGGCATACGACCGTTCAAGTGACTAGACTGTGGTGGTAGCGAATAATGCTGGAAATAGGGCGTTATCTGCTGTACTGAGCCTGGACTGACAGAGGCCTTGTATATACTGTACATAAAAGTAAGAAATAAGTGTGTATTGTAAATCTATGTAAATACAGACAGTGGACATATTAAAACAGACTGACTGACAAATGACAGACCCGACCTCTCGTCAGAGAGGGCGCCCCACACAGACACGACCGTACCTTTCATTTAAAAAAAAATCTGCTCATGAGCCCCAGCTGGGGCTCGACACCAAGACAGACAGACTGACAGACCGTCAGTTGTAACATGACTTTGACTTTTGCAAGTCATCAGTTCATCACGCGGTCTTCAGTCAGTCTACGATCAGCAGTCTTCGTCGCCAGCGCTCGGTCTTCGGAGGTATCGGCACTTCTCAGCGCCAGGCACGACTTCCTCGGCTGTCTGGCGGTCACACCCCCGATTCAGTGGGCAGCTCGGCTGCCTCGATTCGCCGGTTGTCTTGTCCGACACACTGGGCAACTGGCGTAGCTACCGCCTCTGCTCTCCTACTACCGCGCTCGGCAAGCGAACGTTCTCCCAACAACCAAGCAACCTCCAGTAACTGCCGCACTGCGATCAAGCGATCTCCAGCAACGGCCGCACTGCGGCCAGTTCTCACACCGCAAACAACATCCCTTCCTAACGGCGCGCGCCGCGCTACTTCACCGGCCAAGCATCCCAGCAACCAACGGTCCTTTTCTGGACCTACAACTGTTCCGAAGTAGTGGGTTGTCATTGAAGTAACGACAAGACGAAAACTCCACAACCTCTTTAAGATACCTTGGATCAGGTGGCTGCGGCTGATACCATCACATGAGGACCCTTACCAGGGTTACAGCAAAGACCACAATGATACTCTAGGCAGAGGAGTCGTTTGGTACGGCGAGAGTGGCAACCCATTCTTGCTTGTAGTAATTATGGAAGGACTGCTGCCGTGCAGTGAGGATGACCTTCAAAGGCTAAGAGTGAATAAGGTCTATTTGGATGCTGTAAGACTTAAATAAATCCGCTCCCTTCTTCACAATTTTCTGCTTCTTTCTAATCAACCGTATAATGACTTAGTGGCTCATGGTACAAGACAAAAATTTAGTTTTGTACCTGGACCATAATTGCATTTTGTCTTTTTATATAAGAGAGCCAATAACTGAAATATGAATGAAGTGGTTATTATCTGCGCTTCGTTGCAAATATTTTACATGATTCTGCCAAAGCTTACAATTGCAAAATTCGAAAATATGTGATTTAAAGAAATGAAGTTTCAATGGAGCTAGTCCCTGTCTCCAGACACTAGAACTAAACACAAGGTTCATATATCCTGGCTTATGTTTTGTTCTGGTGTCTGGATATAAGGACTAGCTCTGTTGAATGGACTCATATGATTAGGATTCCTACTTGAGGGTGGAGGCAGGGTCCAGTTTATGAAATGTTTTAAATAAATAAAAATAAGACAATGGATGAAGTCGAAAGTCAATAATTGTATTAAGAAACATCCTAATTTATTTCAGAACTTCAACACTGACAATTATGTTTTACTTAAATTTGAATGATTATTTTATATATATATATATGTATAAGTTCAGCTGTAATTGTTGAAGTTATCCTTCTTCAGAAGTTGCAATGTTTCATTTCGAAAAAAAATGTTAAAATATATGAGAAGAAATGTTTAATAGTTGCACATACTGCAGATTTCTAGTAATTTCTGCCTGTATTTGAGTTTTCTCACTGAATTTTGAGAAATTTGTGGGTAGAATTCGATCCTCTTGATTTCACCTGTTTTCTTAAGTCATGTCTGCATTTAACATAATAAGTGTCACAATTTTCGAGCTGAGAAAAAAATGATTTGTGAAATTGAGCTTTGCGATTTTTAAGATAGGTCAATAAATATACCTTGGTGAACCAAGCTCTCTAATGTCTGAAGGTTCTGTAGTTTTCACATACAATTCAACTGCTCCTGCCAGGAGAATATCTTGTACTGCTTGTGTCATTTTTATAATGTGCAAGATCACTGCGGTATTTAGTACGAAAGTTTTACAAATTTAGCGGCGGCCATTTGTAAACAATCAGTACAGTTTGAACAAAATATGAACATCTCACGACTGATTTGTATCAATCATTGCTGCAATTTTTCTAGTCTGCCCTTCCACTAGTGCTTTCGATGGAATGAAAATTCCCTTATGCGACACGTAATTTCTTTTATTTGCAACTGCCACATCATTTTTCATTAGACTTCTCCCACTGACGAGTTTGAAACCAAAACAGCGAGCGATCGAACGAGGTACCTTGAAAGCACTTTAAGCTGTGTAGTTGCATAGCAATAACGAGATTAGCATGCAGCGAGGTGGTATTTTTTATTTCTCGATTGTTGCTAATTACCTAATCGGTTGCTCCATCACGCGAGCGTCTAGGTGCAACTGAATTCAGACAACAGGAACAGTCGTTTTGGCAAGCGGGATAGCGGCCTCAATGTTGTCTGTTAAGCTAGCCACATAACAAATCAGGTTTTCAAGAAAGATAAAGACAGTACAATTTTCAGATTTCTTTATCAAAACTTCTTTTAATGTATGAGATGCTGAGGTGAATATTGGGATTGCGGGCTTGTCAGATGTGACGCCGTGTAACTTGGAAGATTCGTTTCGGCTGAACGTGGTTCAATTCAATTCAATTCAATTTATTTACATTCCGTAAAATCCAGATACAGGTAGACACCATAGGATATGGAACAAGTCAAACACAGTGATTCTGCACAATAACAATCTAATCAAAAGATTAATAAGAATACAAATTACATAAATATAAGTTAAATGTCCTTCAATTTGAGACTGTTAGCAGGAACAGTGTCAATGAGTACATCGCTAATAAGTAATAAGATTATAGATTACATAGCTACATCTTAATTATACATGTACATCACAATTTGAGCCTTTTGTCAAAAACACTGTCAATGAGTACATCGTTAAAGTTTATAAAATATGTAAGTAAAAGTAAAAGCAAGCAAGCAATCGCCATTATACATTCATAGATCCCCATAAGGGACACTGTTAGAAATACAACCTTTTACTTCTTACTATTCTTAGTTCATTTGTCACAATCATTAAACATTAATCATAAAACAATATCACATAATACTAAGTAATAAACATAATTAAAATTAAAAAATATAACATACAGTTAATCCCATTTACATCCAATCAGCATTTACAAATTATTTTGATTAAAAAACTCCTCTAATGAATAAAATGACCACGAGCAAAGATATCTCTTTAATGCTGGTTTAAACAATTCAATTTTATATGATAATGATTTTATATTTATAGGAAGATGGTGTTTCTGTATTGCGGACAGAGAGTTCCTCAGAATTGTTTTGACCCATCCTCTAGTATCTACCTACGGACCTATATTGCTTGACATCTCGAGAGACTATAATCTTTATGTATCGTATATTTTCTACAAGCAAAGAGAGCGTGTTACATGTTCCTAGTAATCGGTCTTCATTATGTGCTAAATGCAATGGAAAGCTTCTCCACTACGGACCCTTCGCCAAACGTAATTTCCCTATATGTTCCCCAAAACAATAATATTATGTTTACATAATATATATGTAGATTAAAGTACAGAAATTCTGTTAAGAACATTTAACATATTTAGAAGGTTCTGTGCATAAGACATTCTAAAATTTGCAAATATTGCACATGGAAATAAAGGTACATGTACGATGGGAATAGTGAAAGAATTACCTGTTGGAAAGTTGGCTACGCGTATATCCAGCGGTTGAGTTTAACATTTGCGATTTCAAAATATAAGCAACGGTACGTTATGTATCTTATGGGTGCAGTGAAAGTTTGTGTGCTGTGAGGGTTTTGGGTCTGTGGTACAAACATTGATGTATTAAATGTATACAATTGTTTTTTAACGTTTCTGACGAATTAACATATTGAGTCAAGATATCGTTTTGATATGGATCCATTCGTACAGGTAACAAGGGTTTGTCCCTACTTTTCACTCAGTTTATATGCACTGTGTTAGGTTTATAATATCATCATCATCATCATCATCATCATCATCATCATCATCATCATCACTGGCACGACAGCCCTTTGTGAACCCTGGCCTTCTTCAGGTTTGCTCGACATTCTTCTCCATTCGATGCTACATTCCTCCAGTTCTTTACACCCAAAATTCTTATATCCTGCCACACACATTCTTCTCATCTCAGTCTTGATCTTCCAACTTTCCTATTTCCTTCTGGTTTAGTATTAAGTATTTTCTTAATCGTTATATTCTCGCTGACACGTATTATGTGTCCAGCCCATTCAAGCCTTTTCGCCTTTATAAATCCAGTAATGTCTGGTTCATTAAATAGTTTGTATGGCTCATGGTTATACCTCTTCCTCCATATCCATTTTCTTCTACCGGTCCAAAGATACATCTCAGGATCCTCCTTTCAAATATACTTAACAGTCTTTCATTCAATCTTGACAGTGGACAGGTCTCAGACGCATAAGATAGCACTGATCTTATAAGTACTTTATACATCACAGTTTTGGTTTTCCTGGGTATTAATTGGGATTTCAGGTGTTTCCTAAGGCCATGGAGACATTTATTTGCCGCAAGTACACGCTTTTTTATTTCATCACTGATATCATTTTTGCAGTTAACTTCTGATCCAAGGTAAGTAAAACTACATACAACCTCAAATTTATATGAGCCAATTTCAATATATGCAGGTCCATTAGCACAGTCTTTCTTGGTTACCTGCATGTACTTTGTTTTATTTTGGTTAATTTGTAGATTCATCTTTTTTGCTGCTCTTTCCAGATTAAGAAAAGCTTCTTTCATAGATTTTTGTGTTCTTCCAATTATATCAATATCATCTGCAAATGCCAAAATTTGAACTGACTTATAGAATACAGTTCCCCTTGTGTTTATGCCTGCATCTCTACCTTCTCTAATGCTATGTTGAACAAAAAGCAGTCTAGGGAATCCCCTTGTTGAACTCCATTTCTAGTTATTATAGGGCTGGACAGCATATTCTGAATCTTAATTTGGCATTGGGTCTTTCTCATAGTGGCTCTGACTAAGACGATTAACTTCCGCGGAATGCCCATCTCTTCCATTGCCAGAAAAAGACTATCTCTATCTATGGAGTCATGGGTTGATCGGAAGTCAATGAAAAGATGATGTGTTTAAATTTGAAATTCATTATACTTTTCAAGGACCTGGCGAATAGTGAAAATCTGATCGTTAGTTGATCTTCCTTGACAAAACCCACATTGGTAATCCCCAATTATGCCTCCCACAAAGGGAGAGAGTCTGTTAAATAGAATGTTGGAAAATATTTTATATGCTATGCACAACAGACTAATTCCTCTATAATTAGAGCATACCATGACATCGCCTTTCTTATGGATAGGGCATACAATACTTAGGTTCCATTCCTCTGGGATCATTTCAGTTATCCATATCTTAACTATTAGCTGATGTAAGTGCTTAGCATATTCTGGGCCTGCAAATTTCACTGATTCTGCCATGATGAGATCCATTCCTGGAGCTATATTATTTTTCAATTTTTTGATAGCTTGTTCTACTTCTTTTATGGTCGGTGCTGGCTCTTCAACCTCAACATTTCCTTGATCCCGGTCTATGGTCATACCTTCCACTTGTTCAGAGGTGTTACCATTTAATAATTCCTCAAAATATAGCGCCCATCTTTCCAGTATTGCTTCATTGCTACTCAATATTGTGCCTTCTTTATCTCTACATAAGGTGGTTCTAGGTTGAAAGTTCTTTCAACTCTTGTTTAGTTTTTGATAAAACGCTCTAATTTCGTTTGAACTTCTTGAATGCTTCAGTTCAACAGTTCTTGTTTATCATATTCCCTTTTCTTCTTTTTATGCAATCTTCTTTTTTTTCTTCTCGCTTCACAGTAATCTTCCATGGCCCCTCGAGTTTGGTTCCTTTGCTTCATTCTCTTATATGTCTGGTTTTTTTGATTTATCACTTGCTCGCACTCTCCATGAAACCAATTCTTATACTTTATCCTTTCCATTCTTCCTAAAACTGCACCAGCTGCATTTATAATAACATCTCTGAGGTCCCTTCAGGCTTCGCTGACCAGTCATTTACTAATTAATCCAATATATCTGGTTGCAACTCCTTGTTCCACCAATTTTACACAATTCAATTTCTTAGCTTGGGATCTATGTATCTTCCTTGCATTAGATATTAGACTTCAAATCTTTGATATTATTAAGTAATGATCATAGTCAATGTTGGCCCCCCTGTAGCTCCTAACATCCATCAAATGTGAACAATGTTTTACATCTATTAGGATGTGATCAGTTTGATTAAACACATTTCCATTAGGGGATTTCCAGGTTCATTTATGTATATCCTTGTGATGAACATTGTACTACCTACTGCCATGTTTCTTGAAGAAGCAAAATTTATCAATCTCATCCCATTATCGTTTGACTTGTTATGTAGGCTATGTTTTCCAATAATCGATTTATATAAATCCTCATTCCCCACTTTAGCATTCATGTCCCCTATGATTATTTTACAATCCCTTTTTGGACATTCGCCGTATATTTCATCCAGTTCATCTTAAAAGAAGTCTTTCTCCTCATCACTTTTATCTTCAGTTGTGGCATGTGCACAAATAAGGCTATAGTTAAAAAACTTTCCCTTAATTCATAGCCTACATGTTCTGTGAGATTTTGCCTGGAAGTCTAAAATAAGATGTTTCCTTTTTTTATTAATAATAAAACCTGTTCCAGACATGTGACTCTTCTTCTGACACCTTCAGAATACAACATGATCCCTCTTTTCCAGGACTCCTTTACCCAACCACCTCAGTTCTTGTACAGCAGTGAGATCTAGTTTATAGCTATCTAGTTGTTGAAGTAGCATTTTTAGTGCTCCGGCTCTGTAAAGAGATAATACATTCCAAGATCCAATTCTCAAATCCTTTAAACATTTTCCAGGTCCTCTTGAATAGGTCCGTCCGGCTACTCTTTCCTCGGATTTCTGAACAATTTAGTTTTTACGGTGTGAGGTTGTTAGCCTCATGCCCAACCCCCAACCTGGAGGGCCAGGGTATCCCTCTTTGTCTGGCTCTTACCCCTTGACCTGTCCAGGCATGGGTGGCTGTACCAGTAGCCATGCTACTGCTGGCATAGCACTCAGGGTCTCAGGAGCTCTCAAACCCCACCACCATGATAAGGTGGAGATACCATTGGTGGGGAGGTTTATAATATGGTTTCTTTTAATAGCAAATGTTTGCTCGATCCAAAGCTCGTAGAGAAGGAAGGAATGCACAACTGATGAATTTGGGGCTAGAAGTTTCAATGCATCGCAACCCCCTGCAGGATTACAATCACACGCAGCTGTTAAATGTAACCACACGAGGTAAGACTTGTAATTGGTTTGATATCTGAAGTGTCTTGTGTTACTGCCCCTCCCCCAAAGGCTTGAAAAATAGTGAATAATTATGGGATTTAATATCCTATTCTACTAACGTATCTGTCAATAATATGTAGCACATCCACAAAGTAAGTTTCCCACTTTTCCCACAGCTAGCAAACCCTATATTGCGTGAAGTGACCGCGCGTACGTGATAGAGCAATGACGTAGCATGGCGCATGCACAAACGAAATTTCCTGCATTCCCGTAGTAGCATTATTGCAGCTGTTGAAGATGCAGGCTCTTATTCCAGCTCCCGCCGACTGTGAAGTGCGGTCAGTTATAAAGTTTTTCAATGCACAGAGCATAGTGCCGATCGAAATTCATCATCAGCTGTGCTGGGTCTATGGGCCTAACGTCATGAGCAAGCAGATGGTGCATCACTGGTGCAGACAGTTCTCAGCAGGTCGACAAAGTGTGCATGATGAGAAGCGCGGTGGGCGGCCATCCATCATTACAGACACCTGGTGGAGCTTGTGCGAGAATGCATTATGGAGAATCGTCGCGTCACAATTACAGAACTCAGCAGTCATGTCCTGCAGATTTCCTGCTCCTTGTTGCTCGAAATTGTCATGGAGCACCTGTTGTTCAGGAAATTGTGCGCCAGGTGGGTGCCGAAGCAACCGACACCAGAACACAAAACAAAGCGCATGGAGTCAGCATTGACATTTCTGCAGCAGTACCACGATGACGGCGATGAGTTTCTGGACCAGATCATCACAGGTGATGAAACGTGGATTGCACACATTACCCCAGAAACCAAGCAGCAGTCAATGCATTGGCATCACAGTGGATCTCCCTGTAAGATGAAATTCAAGCAGACGTCGGCGTGGAAAGTGCTGTGCAGGGTATTCTGAGACAGACAGGGCATTCTCCACGTTGACTTCCTGACCAGAGGTGAGATGATGAATGCTGAGCGTTACTGTGAAACACTGCAGAAATTGCGATGGGCCATTCAGAACAAGCGGCACAGGATGCATAGTGCCGGTATTGTCTTCCTGCATGATAACACTAGGCCGCATACGGTTCAATGGACAGCAAGTCTCCTGCTGGAGTCCAGCTGGGAGGTGTTTAAATATCCACCCTACAGCCTGGACCTCACTCCTAGTGATTTCCATCTTCTGCACCTCAAGAAATTCCTGTCTGGTGAGCGTCAGGGTTTTGAGAATGACAGAGAGGCAGAGACGGTTGTCACACAGTGGTTCCAATCCCAGGCGGCAGACTTCTACGACACAGGTATTCAAAAGTTGGTCCCACGGTATGACAAATGTTTCAGTTCCGGTTGTGATTATGTTGAAAAATAGCTGAACACTTGCTGTATCTGTTGCAATAAATATTTCCATGAAATTGTGTTTTATGTCTGCAAATGGCCCCAGGGAAACTTACTTTGTGGACGAGCCTTGTACAACTTTAAAAAGACATTAGGAATATGTTGTTCACTAAAAATGCATTTTAATACTATGACAGTTAAAATCAATAATATGCTCATAGCATAGCATAGCATAGACAGGAGACTGAGGAATGAATTGAAAAGAGCCACGGACAGGGCCAAAAAGGAATATCTTGAGAAGATATGTAATGAGATTATAGAATTTCAAAGGACAGGACGTTATGATTTGATATACATGAAGACAAAAGAACTAGGATGGAAAGAGAACCATGGGATTCAAAATATT